ATTTAAACAAAATATTAAAAATAAAATAAAACGAAAAGCAGGATTTTTTTTCAGGAATTTTTTATCATGAGGGATATGGTCCTAGAGCTAGCTTTCCCCCCCCGGGCGCCCCGGGCACCCAAGCCCGCCTGGAATGGCGCTCGAGGCGCTCGGCCGTGCGACCCCCCCGGCCAGGCACCCGGGCCCCCCCAGCGCCGAACCGGAAACGGCCGCAAAAAAAAAATTTCGCGCCGCCGCCCGCTGGCTTACAGGCCAAAAAAAATTTTGAAGGCTGGCGCGCTTTTTTTTTGAAGCCCGGTAGGCCCCTTTCTTGAAGTTTCATTTTTTTCAATTCTTGGCCGCGTAGTTCCCAGGATTCGAATTCGAATCGACGGCGCGCGTAGTTCCCAGGATTCGAATTCGAATCCTGGGCCGGTCAACCCCCCCCCGATGCCCCCCGTCCTCCACCCTCCACCCTCCGCCCTCCGCCGTCCACCCGCCCACCCTCCGCCAGGCGCCAGTGTCGTCGTCGCCCTCCTGCCGTGCCGTCGTCGCCCTCCTGCCGCGCCGTCGTCGTGCTGCCCCTACCGCCATCGTCGTCGTCGTGCTGCCGCTGCCGCCATCGTCGTCGTCGTGTTGCCGCGTCATCGTCGTCTGCTACCTTCCTCTCGACTTCCTCGAGTACCGCCGTACGCCATCTCCACGAAGGCTCGAACTTCGAGGTAAGTTTTTCATTTTCTTTTTTCTTTTCTTCTTCTTATTATTATTATTATTTATTATTATTATTATTATTATTATTCTTATTATTATTATTATTATTCTTTCTTCTTCTTCTTCTTCTTCTTCTTCTTCTTCTTCTTCTTCTTCTTCTTCTTTCCGTCGACTTCTGTGTTTTTTACCTCACCTCAGTCACCTCGTTTTTTTTTTCACCTCGTTTTCACCTCACCTCAGTCACCTCGTTTTCACCTCACCTCAGTCACCTCGTTTTCACCTCACCTCAGTGACCTCGTTTTCCCCTCACCTCAGTGACCTCGTTTTCCCCTCACCTCAGTCACCTCGTTTTCACCTCACCTCAGTCACCACGTTTTTTTTTCTTCTTCTTGGCTTCTTCTTCTTCTTCTTTTTCTTTGTTTCTTTTTCTTCTTCCTCTTCTTCTTCTTCTTCTTCTTCTTCTTCTTCTTCTTCTTCTTTGTTTCTTCTTGTTTCTCGTTCCCCCTCCCCTTTCCATGACGCCCGCCCTCTCTCTTCAGCCGTAGCCCCCCACCAACTTTGTGTGATCAGCCGCGATTGACCCCTCCTCCCTCCTTTCTCATAGCGCCCCTCCCTCCTCCCTCTCTATTGCCTCGTTCCGTCCCCCCGTCTCCATCGCCTCCCTCCTTCCTCCCGCCCTCTTCGTCGCCTGCGTCCTCCTCTCCTCTCCATTGCCTCCCTCCTCCTCGCTCTTCATCATCCTCCCACTCCCTCCTCTGCCATAGGCTCCCTCCTTCCTTCCGCCATAGGCTTCCTCCTCCCTCCTCCCTCCTTCACATAGCGCACCCCCTCCCCCCTCCTCCTCCGCTCAATCATCATCATCAAACTCCCTCCTTCCTCCCGCCATA